CAGCCCTTAAACCACCTTAAGCGACCTATGGTGTCTACTTTCTTAGGCAAGAATTGCTGACAGTCTTGAGGTAGACCTATATTGAAGACATGAAACTGTGAAATCCTTTGTATAACTTGGGCCTTTACCTTATTGCCTTTACAAATTTACTAAGATAATGTATGGTAATTAAAGAGAACGAGTTATTCAATTAAGTGTGAGGGGAGCATCTAACCTGTAGGACATCGATTAGCTTCTGCATCCGCCTGCAATTGAAGCAGTCAACCTTTTTTATGGAATCAGCCTCATCAAAGCCTCCGACACCCAAAGGCCCTGGCAAAAGACTCATCGTTGCAGAATAACATTTTACGCCTATTTCACCTGTCACCTTGGATAGACGGGCGCGCAAAGCTTTTGCGTCAGCTGTGGCCTCTGCCAGCTGACCATGTAATCGAGCCGTAGTCCTGTCGGTTTCAAAGCGGAGACGAGCATGCTCCTCGCGAAGTTCTGTCAACTCAGCTTGGGAGGTAGCAAGCTCGAAAAGCAGGCGAGCTGATTGTCTTTTGGCATCATGTGAAGGGGCATCCTGAAGGTCAACGTTATCCATACTGATTCCTATATCTGGCCCTCTTGTTTCACAGTTAACGCTTTTTATTGGCATACACAAACCTTCGCTGGGACTCAACTCCTCATGGGCTCCAGTTCCCAGTTCTCCGACATCTTCGATTTTCACACCATCAAAATTAGCTACTTTATTATCAAGAAACTTTATTGGAGGCCAGTTGTGCAAATCTAGAAAAAAAGAGTAGTTTATGTATAATAAACTAAGAAATATTATAATTTTCCTGATTTATTTATCTCCTTTTTTCAAATAACTGGGATTTTACCTTCTTAGATCAGGTTAAGTGTCTGTCTAATCAACTGATCATATAATCATATACCCTAACTGCACCAAAGGATCGATTATTATAATTTATGCGAGAATTAGGATAGCTGCAGCACTTATTCTGATTCACCTAATATAATCTCTTTTAGAAAGCAGCCAAGAACTAAAATATTCGATAAGTCGATAAGTCGATATCCAATATAGCTTAGTGGTGAGGTTTCTAGCAATCAAAATTTGAAATGTGTGTACTTAAGGACTATGGTCCAATATATCCAATTTACTATTAAATGAGCAAGTATAAAAGCTGATGGAAAAAAGGGACGAATGTAGAAAAAATTAATTTAAGATTTTTACCTTC